CGAGCCCACCAAATCCGACGACCAGCCAGGGTCGCGCAGGGCCGGCGACTCTGCTGGCTTGTTGTTCCTGGCCCTGGGCTTCCTCTGGCTTGGTCGTCTACCTGGCTCGGGCCTTAGTACCGTAGACGAGACTTTTGGTGATGCTTGTGTCCAGGTGCTGTGGGTCCCTATCCTATAACGCTATATATAGCTTACTCACTCTGTCGCTTGTAGTACTACTGTACCTAGCAGACTGCAAAAGTATTTGTAACGGCCACGTGTTGAAAGGCCTGGCACAGCCCAAACTAGCTGTGGTATCCAATTGTTATTGAATGAGATGACTTTGTCGAAAGGGCCTAGTAAATGAAGCGAAGCGTTCCTTCCTCGCTTCTTCCATGTACACAGTACTGTACATTCCAGAGCATCGTCATTGAAGCGAAGCTTTGCTTCAATGACTTGGGTTCGCAGAGGCCTAGGCCAGATCAAACAAATAGAGGCGCACTCCTCCCGACTTCGGACTCAGCTAAGCCATAATACAATATGAATACCCCGCCTCAAACTGGCACGAATTCCACGTCGACTCGTCCGCCACGTCGTAATTGAGAGACGGATTCCATTCCATCAGCTGTTCGTGAGTGACTGCCAACGAGGAGAAAGCAAGTCAGCATCTCCCTCATCAGAGATCCGCGGGGCGCAGACTGGCAAAGCGGATCTTTCCACTTACTTCCCCACATGTTCGCCCTCCACCAGCACGCGTTCGGGTTCACGTATCTGACCGGCGGCTCGTCGTCGTAGACGATGTCGTATCTGGCACAGCCCTCCCTCGTCCCCAACGCCAAGGGCAGCGAGGCAGGGTCCGTCCACACCGGCGCCGTTGCCGAGGAGGTACTACTGCTGCCCGTGCTGCTGCTGGTGGCCGTCGGCCACGGTATATCGCTCTCGGGCGTCTCCCACGCCGTCGTGAAGCAGCTGCTAGGGGCGCCCAGGTTGAGGCACAGGTTGTCGAAGCTGAAGCTGTGTCTTGTGGGGTGCGTTGGTGCTCGGTGGTTAGCGTCGGCTGTGCATGATGAAAAGGCTAAGGGCTGTGGTTTGGTCTCACTATGATGCCGTCGTTGGCTGTGGCGTCGCCGTCGTCGACACAACCCCGGGCGGGCTCAGGCAGATCGCGTGGCCAGTCAGGGCACGCAGATTGTCGCACTGAGACTTTAGATTCGGGTTGAGCTCAATGAGCTTGGCGGCCGTCAAGCCGTGTTTTTCGGCCACGCTTTGGCACGTGTCGATCGGCAAGACCATGTACGTGTTGCACCGCTGCGGGATGCAAATCTCCGTTCCCACCGCGGGGAAGTCCAAACAGAACATGGGGAGCTTGTTGGAGTAGAGCAGGGAGAATGTGGACACCTGCTTGGCCCGGCTGATGGACTCGCACGTGTCCGACTCCTGGATGGTATATCGGCTTTCACAGGTGTAGGAAGGGACAGGGACCCCATCTGCCGGTGTCGGGATCGGAGCTGTAGTGGTACCCAGTGCGTAGCGGGTCGGCGAAGTCACTGGGTAGGATGTCACTTGGCAACTTGATGTTGGCATTGTTCAGTCAGTGATGAGGCGTAACTGGGATGGGAGGATCACGTACGAAGAGGTCAGGGAAGAGTAGTCGGCCGCCAGAGCATCCGTGTAGCCCAGCGGCGAGTCCAGAACGGCCTGACTCAGTCGAAGGCTGCAGGCCGAGCAGAGGTCGGACGGTGACATGCCGTTTTCGGCGCTTGCTTGCTGGACAAGGAGAGAGAGGCAGCGAGCTCCGGTCCTGGCTCGCGCGCATCAGCGGTCCAAGAGCGCAGAGACGGAACAAATACCTTAGGTATGGCAAGTCAACTCACGTAGTGTCCGTCAGGCACGCCCACTTGTACGTGTGCAGCATCAGGTCGACCGCGTACGTGGCCGGGTAGACATTGTACCCAACCGTGACGGTGTCTGTGCCGGCGCAATGGGCGACCTGAAGCTCTCGCAGGGCCTCCAGGCTCGGGGAACACGAGGAGGCAGTGCAAATCAACTCCAGCTCGTCGGCGCTCGGCACCTTATTTT